TGTATCTGTGATCTACTGACTTGTCTGAGTTAGATTATCTGGGAGCGATTGCTTTTGTCTCCGCCCACATACCAGGAGAAATCGCTGTGTTTTCCTCATTACACTAAACGCTCTTGATGAGGAAACACAACTGAATCACTCTCGTGATTATTTCTCTCCTTATTCAGGGGTGTAACACAGACACACAAACGTACACACACAGAGCTGGACACACATTCAGCAGACAGTGCGCTCAAAGAAATAGTGTGTCTGGTGTCCATGCATGGCTGCATTTACCTACAGTCCATTTTTCATGGTTTCCTTAGACTGTAATGATTGTCTCAGTTATCATCCCATTACAGTACCTTCAAGGAAGAAGGCCAGTTTACTTTAGCTCTGCTGCCATTACTCTAAATAAAGACTGACGGTCACACCAAATAAGGCAGTCATTATGTGGAGCGCTGTCTCACCAAAGCAGACTTTGAGCTCAGTGAAGTCATTTCTGCTCTGAGTCACATGCGAGTGAGTTCACACACTGTGTACAGTATTCGTTGAAAGCTGAAAGTTATAGATTAACTCTGAGCTGCCCTTTTTTCAAGCACACTAACAGGCTTGTTTGTGTGTTATTTCACTATGAGTGGCTAGTGGTAATGGCCAAAAACAGCATCAATTATTGTGTCTATTCAAACCAACCGTTTCGGTTAGTTTTGTAAAGGGTTGTTATTTTTGTAATAAATGTAATGAAAACCAGTTTTCTTAATCATGGTTTCGCTGTGAGTAACGTTGTCCGACATGTACTCAAAATGTTGTGCCAAAGGTCAAACAGTTTCGGTTTTGACTTAGAGCTTTGGTGAACTTTGATGGTTTCTTTACACTTTACAGATACTTTAAATTAAATTTATGTGAGGGTTTTATGTGGATCAATCAGTTTTACGTCCTGTAATCTTTATCTTTTTTCCCCCCTGATGTTACATTGTTGTTTAGATGTGACCGGGCTCAGCTGGACACATAATCTTTATCTCCTGTCTTCCTGTGCTTACAGAGCACGTTCATTTCACTTTTCATTAAAATGATTAAAATGATGGCTTGTATGTCCATTATCATGATTTGCATTTTGTGGAAAGGACGGCCATCTGGATGTTTGTACACCAAGTGTAAAAATGTTTCACTGCCCCCCCCAACCCCACCCGCCCCCCCTTTACGCACGACGGCTGCAGATAATGATCATCCATAAAATTTTACCTCTGCGACATGTTTTTAATTGATCTAAGTGAAATCTTTGCTGACAGTTTAATGCTTCGATTTTAAAGCATGTAGCTAGTTTGCATATTTCTCTATAACATTCATGATAACGACAAAGTGAGCAATAATCAGAGCTGCCTAATCAGGACCGTGTGTCGTTTGATACACTCGAACAGAAATCCCATTGTTCCAATTGAAAATCTGATCACAGTCCCTGTAACATTAAACATCAGAGCATTACTTTCTGTCCCATCTGAGCGAATTAATTGACATTTTCTCTTTCATTGGAAAATCAAATCTTTGCATGTGTGCAATTAAAAATGTACACAACGCTGAGTGACCTCCACCTCAGCGGCAAGGAAGTGAGGACAACGGGAACGCGAGGAATACAAATCCTTCCTGCATCTTATCCCATCTCCCCTTATCCCATATTAATTTTTTTTACATAACAATGAGCAAGGTCTTTTACCTGCTTTTAGTAAAGCATCTTGAGATAACATTGGCGCTATACAGATAAAGATTGATTGGCACTTATAAACATAATAACATTATTAATGTTGTACCCTTAAATCAGAGTGGAGAAAGTGCTGCAGTATATATACACATTTTCTGTCAGCTATACTATTTCAACTTGCAGTGTTTGGTTAAAGCCAGCTTATAAATTCCTGCCTGATGATTTCATCTGGAGTTGACCTTAAAAGTACTCTCATTGTGTTTTTGTTCCTCTTGTCACCTGAGCCACCAGACAGGCGAGTTCATAAGTAAACCAGTGGAAGAGATGACATCCTGAAATGTAGCTTTTTTTCCTCTATTCGTGCACTGCTGAATAAAAGAGGCCTGTGGCTGAGCAGTTATTCAAACAAATGCTTCCTAAAGCCTCTGCGGTCCGTCATTTATTTAACAGGTACATCAGACAGTCAGAGAAACCCATCCCCGAGACATACAGTTCCAGCTGAGTACTTTTCTTTTTCTCCCAGAATGCAATTTTCCTCCGCTCTCTATCCAAACAACTTTGAAAAATGGCCCTGCTTCTTGAAGTGCTTGATGAATTGACACTGCTTTTCATCATGCAGATGCCAAGCTGTGTTTACCGTTCTGACAGTGATGGACACATATCTCAGTTCTCTCTATATTTCCCCCCGTCTCCGGTGCCTCTGCTGGAGGCAACGAATCGCTCCCATCAAGGGTGTCTGTCAGAATCTGTGGGCTGAAACGACCAGCTGCAGCACCGGAAGCCTGGGAATAAAAACTATGCTTTTGCTTTGCAACCGTATCAAATGTTTACAGGCTGTGAGCTTCAACAATAGTGGGTGTGACTGAGACGGTCACTCCTCTATGTCTGTGTGTGTGAAAGCTGCCGTTGTGTCTTTTCAATCAGCTACCTACCACAGCCCAGAGGGAAGTCAGGTTCCTCAACCTGTAGATCACAGCCTCCTCACCCTGAGAAGCAGGTCCAGAAGGTTTCCTCATACAGTCAGCTGGTTACATCCTCTTTGTCACAAAAATCCAATCCCAACAAGAAGCATAGTTGAAGCTGCATACTTGATTTTCTTTACTGTTTCCTTAAATTACTGCATGCTACTGATGTTCTGCAGAATGCCGTCTCTCGTATCTGCTGTCCTGGTAACCTGTATGCATTTTGCCTAGCAGGTATGCATTTCAAATCAACGCACACAATTGTTGCTAATTGTCACTCTTAAGTACGCAAAACACCTTGTGACGTCGATCATTTGTGCAGTAAAAATGGCAAGAGGCAGGATTCATTGGATAACATCCTACATGTCAAAGATGAACAGCTGAGCCAATCATAGCACAGGATTGTCCTCACACACATTGTAAGCAGGGTTGAATAATGGGAAAGTAGCTGAGCTGACATTATAGTTCCAAATTTTAATGGCAACAGACTTGACGTTTATTTTACTCCTCCTGTTCTCTCTCCTCACTCTCTCTGGCTGGTTATTCAAGGAAGGACCGTTCTTTGAACTCCTTTACAAAGTAAACAGCATGAGGGGTGAAAAGTTCAGATTGTATTGTTTGTCTTATGTTTCTCATATTTGCACACCAGCTTGCTAGTTTTATTCTACTGAATGGATCATGACATGCCAGGCTAAAAAAAAAAAGCAAAAATTGCAAGTCTGACCTCCCAGACATGCAATCTGCACAGTCCGACGTAGGCATACATAACTGGGGATCCACGCTGTAATTTTTTGTATGATATTCACGTTCACATTTAAATTGGTGTATTGCCAAGCGCTGGGAATTGAATGGGGATTAAAGTCCAACAAAAATGCAAATACTAGCTGTATATTCAGGTAACCCCAGAGTGAGAAAAACATAAAAGATGCCTGTTGGCACTAGATGTTATGAGAGAGAGATGTGTTTTGTGGATGATGGTTTCCTTTCCCAGAGAACTGACGAGGCTTGGAGAGAATTGAGTCTGATGGCAACAGGAGGAGGAAAGCTTTTAGCAAACCTTTCTACTCTCATTCTGGATGTCCTTGTCTTTTTTCACTGAAGTGCAGACTGGGAAATACACTCCAGCTTTGTGGCCAAATCAAAGTCCAATATTGTGCCAACCCTGAGCCCACATATGTTCCAAATATATTATTTTTTATCATACGTCTGAACTTAAGTACATGTGAAGACACTTCATTCTCCATATAGGTAGTGTCCAGTTGGGTTGGACTATAAGAATGTTTCTGCGTTTAAAGGGTGATTTCAGCTGTGTGGGAGTACAACAAACAAAGCGCATTGTGAACAGTAGTTTAAACACTCTCTTTGTCTTTTATGGAAACCTGTAATAAAAAAGAAACCTTTCCTGGAAGAGAAGGAGGTTAAGTGTTTACAGTTGCAGTGTTTGGCCCGCTGTTTCAACAATTATCTTTGCACATTAGAGTCTGCTCCATCTGTCAGTGAAAAGCAGGTAAATGAGATGCAGATGTAGCCGAAGACAATTCTCTTTCATTATGAGCACAACATTTCCCTTACATGTGTTTGGTGTCGTTTGTGCGCTGTGATAAGTGTAACACATTTGCAGCGCCTTTTAGCAGCAGCATATTGTGGTGATTTCTCTCTTTTTAAAAGCTGTTCTCCCTCCCCGCTCGCCGAGTGGAAGGTGGCAAGCTGTCAGAAGGATTTTAATGTGTCGAGGCAGCATGTGACAACTCCATTCTCTATGGACTGTGTTCCTCGCCGCGGCTTAAATCTCTCACTGAATGGAGAATCTTAACCCAGTTGATGTCACCAGGAATTTATGTTTATTCGTTTCTAAGAATAAATGCTGAAGAATCTGCTCTAGTTTGGTGATGGGCTGCATTTTCTCTTTATCATTATTACCATACCTTCAACAAGACTGCCTTCTGCTCTTTTAGTCTTACACTTTGAGATTTACATCATGTATATTTAACACAAGTTACTTATCAGACAAGATGTAGCCATATTTCTTTTATGAGTGACACATTTCCTGTATCAAAACATTGGACAGTGGCTCCTGTAAAGTAAGTCGCTACAACATTTTGCAATTTGTGGTCTTCTGTTGGACACAATGTTTAAAAAATGAACATTGTCATACACCTAAAAATTGTAGTAAACATGTGATGTTTTAAGCAATTATTTATCACAGCACTTCTTTCAGAAGGATTGTTGTCTTGTGTGTTTTAGTGCAGGTTGTTCTCTCTGCAGCTCTCTGACGTTCGGCTTGTTAAGTTTCAAGATGAACAAACTAATATGAATGAGAAAAACACTTACAACACTCTCTCTCTCTTTATGTCTCTGTGCAGGTTTGACCTCTGGTCTGGACATTACATCTACAGGGCCGACGTCTATAGAGAAGGCCAGTGGTCAGAGTGTGAAGCTGGACTGTCAGTTTGCTCTGGCCGCTGATGACGCTGGCCCGCTGGACATCGAATGGAGCATATTATCCTCCGACAACCAGAAAGAGGACAAAGTGGTACGTCTAAATGTTCCCTTGCCAACATTGAAAATACACTTTTATTCAAAGATAGCATATGAAAGTACATTTAACAGTTATGTGATCTCTGCCCGACTTTAATATAGCACACACATTAATCTGTTCATAGAATTTAAGCTTTGTTCTTGTCTTTTTGTTCATAGTTGATGGAATATTTTTCAGCTTGATCCTCTGTTTTTAGCTTTAGCTTTAGATATTCTTTCATTGCCAGACAATGCGTCAAAAACTGAAATTATGTTGAAAGACTTTGATTATCCTCAATTATTTTAGTGTGTGTGTACGTATGTGTTGTTTGATAGTAATCAGCTATGTTGTGATTTTGCTGCAAAAGTTTGGTACGTTGTGCAAGAGGAGAAATTTTTAATCCAAGAATACTGTGGACGTACACACCACAACAGCCAATGAAGTTTTTTGCTTGAATGCATAGCATTTTCATCAAAATGACACTTGATTGATTCCTGACCTTACAACTGAGGTTTCGGTGCGCCAGTGTCCTGGTGGTTGGTGTGCATGCCCTGTGTACCTGTGGTCCTTAAGGCGGGTGGCCTAGGTAGGGGTCCAATCTGTGGCTTCTTTAGAGAGCGTCATTCCCCACTCTCTCGCTCTCTGTCTCTCTCCCCCCTATTTCTGCCCTGTCCACTGTCTCTCCAATTAAGGCATAAAAAGCCCCCAAAAACACCTTAAAAAAACAAAACTGAAACTAACAATGTTATCTGCAGCTCAGCTCACAGCCCCTCCTAACACCATGTCCTATGAAAAGCTTCAAAAGAAACACAGATTTTTAACATGAAACGGTTTTATTGATTTTTTTTTAACTTGTTTTATGTACTAAGTCTGTTTGGGTACCTCTGTGTATACAGTTATTAGGCTACAGGTAGAAACCTTTTAAACAATAAAGGAAAACTGAGCTAACTTCATTTGAGCAGCTCGGCTCAGAGAATCTCCTGAAGTCCTGAGTCTGCTGAAGACTGACAGAGAAACTTTAATTTAAAAAAAAGAAGAAAAATCGCTTCAAAAACTATATTCAGTAGGTCAACTAAGTCAGAATACTCGCCAGTTTCAACATATTGCAAAGCACTGTTTGCAAGAGGTGAAATCCAATACACCCACTGAGCTAGGTGTGAGTGTATTCTCGAGCTGTTGCAGTGTAACACAGGAAGAGTGGAGTAAAAAAGACAAATGAAATTAGAGCCACATGTACCTCTATTGAGCATTTGTTCCCTGCACTGCTCTCACAGTCACACAGTGGGAGGGATGGGAGCTCTCTGTATCGCAGCCAGAGTCTTTCTTTTCCAGCATGGCCCTCAGCCATGGAAAAGGAGGACTGCACCACTCTACAGGATCTCCTCGTTCCCTCAGGCGGTTCATAGCCTCAGAGTCAGATTCTTGCCACAGATAGTGGTGTGGTCCTCCCCCATGGTTCTCTACTCCCCCATCTCCCACTTGTCATAAAGCCTTTCCATCCTTCTCCTCCACTCTTTTTCACCCGTATCCTTTACTTTTTCTCTGGCCAAATGTTAGAAATAGGTCACAGGCTCATCATTAGTCTTCTTTGTTTCTGTCATCCACACACTGTCCTTTCTGACCACATAGCCAACCAGCCGTCCTCTCACCCAGGTCAACCTACTCCAATTATCTCCATCTATTTCTCCCTCTGACCACTTTGTTTTTACACTGACACGTACATACTGCAGAAGGGAAGAAAGGGAGTTGGAATATCTTAAATTGTTGTTATTTAGCAGCAACAAAAAGTGTGAGGTTAAACTTTCAATCTAAAGCAGTTTTCACATATGCACTCTTGAAAATATCTAGATAATTTCAGGAGGACTGCTCTGGAGATTCTCCTGACCTGGTTTTTCACATATGCTCTTCACAGCAGGAGACTATCCCTGTCAGACGGCAGGGGGGACGGGGGGTCTCCTGAGGGAAGACATGAGGTATAAAAAAAAGTAGAAGTAGTGGACGAAGTAAGAGAGTCCGCTAAACGATGCTATAATGAGAATATTTGCCTTTAAATCAATGCTACGTGTAGTTGAACAGAATCATAATATGAACGAAAGAGCGGAGAAGCACATACTGATGAAGAGAAAACATGCAGCCGGCTAATCACATGGAGGAAGAGCGTAGCGGTTGCGTGCAGACACTCTATGCTGTCTATCAATAAGTCACAGGATATAAACGTCACCACCCTTTCCTACGGACTCGAGGTGAACTCTCCTGACCATATCCTGCTGCGTTCTCACGTCAGGTCACTGGAACTTTCTGTGGAAAAATACTAGAAGAAATTTCAGCTGTTTGCGTTCACATGCAGCTCCTTTCATTAGTTTTCTGCGAGTGTGAAAGCCATAAAAGAGGCACAACTAAAAGAAAATCAGGAAAAGTTTTTTGATTGTGCATGTTGAGAAATGTAAAGTAAATCTTCTCGTTATTCGTCTCCACTTGCCTGGCCCTAATACTTGTCTGTATATCAATGATGCAACACGGATTAAGGGAATTCAGCTTGGGTGGTTCCCTACTCGGGCCTCTTCTCTCTCTTCAATGATTGCAGCTGTAGAAATATATCAAATGTCGTCTGCTTCTACAGTTTGTTGTCTTTATTACATGACATTTTGCTGAGTTCTGTCCACACGCCCATGAATTATGCCAGACCTTTGTTGGGAATTTAAACAGACCAGACATCTCTCTCTGAACGTATTTGTTCTCCTTGACCTATCACATTTATTCTCTATATTCAAACAGGCTCACATTAGTATAGCCTTTAACCAGTATGAATCATGGTCAGAGTAAATTCTCTGTAATTAGCTGCATGTTAATTCAAAGGGGCTGCTTTAATATATGTGACAGTGTTAAATGGGATTAGGCCGATCTGCCAGGACCAGAGCTACGAGGTCAGGCAAGCAAATGAGAATGAGGGCTTAAGTGTATAGCCAGAGGCTCCGAAATGCTCAGAAAGCATGGAGGACCTCTGCTCCCTTGGCCCGAGATGAGAAAATTCTGTCTGCTGAAGGAACAACCAAGATCAGATAAAAACTTTTAACCAGGGAACTGGGCTGGGGGATCAGTCAGCAGGGTCATGTAAGTGGGAACTTGAAGCCCTGTTTGTGCAAGCCAAGAGATGGGTGGTGTGGTGTGCATAACATCTATGGTTATGCAGTGTGTTGTTAAAAAGGTGCTGATAGGGGCGCGCTGGTGGCGCAATGGTTAGGGCGCGTGTCACATGTATTGAGCTCTCGTCTCGAGCAGGAGGCCCGGGTTCGCTTCCACCCGTGGCCCCCTTCCGCATGTCATTCCCCACTCTCTCTCTCCCTGGTTTCCGACTCTATCCACTGTCCTATCTCTGCATTAAAGGCACGAAAAGCCCAAAAATATATCTTTAAAAAAAAAAAAAAAAAAAAAAAGTGCTGATACACTTCTGATATTCGTCTATGAAACAATGTATTCTCCAACCGACAGCAAATGTAGTAAACTGTGGTTACAAAAACACAAATAATCCTGTATTCCTGGAGTGATAAAGAAGCAAACATTCACAGGTTTTCTCTTCATGCTCTCAGCATCTGTGTAACATCAAAAGTCACTGCATTTCACATGAACATGCTGAGCCCAACCGGGTCGGCTGTGGCTCAGTTGGTAGAGTAGGTCGTCTTTTAACTGGAAGGTTTGGGGGTTCGATCCCCAGCTCCTGCAGCCACATGTCCGATGTGTCCTTGGGCAAGACACTTAACTGCTAAATTGCTCCCGCTGCTTAATCGGCGGTGTATGAATGTGTGTGAATGTATTAGTTACTTCTGATGGTCTCTTTACTCAGCTGCCTCTACCATCAGTGTGTGAATGTGTAGGTGTGACCTGCAGTGTAAAAGCACTTTATGTAGTCAAAGGACTAGAAAAGGGTTATACAAGCTCAAGTCCATTTACCATTTTATATGCCAGCTAACACATTCTCAACAGCATGCAGCAGCTCTAGGATACAAAAAACCTCATGAAATTGAAATACCGTAATCTTGACAAATGCAACTATTAAACCTGGCAAGGACAATACAATGACCTTACACAAATGTGAAATGACTAAAACTCACATGAATAGCTACACACTGTGTAAAGTGCAGCAAACTGGGATAATGTGTGTATTCCCAGGATTAATTACACAGACATAGAGAAATACTGAAATTTCTGGAAATGGAAAAGTGCGTTTGTGAAGAGCGCTTTAGTAAAGCTATGAGAAGTGCTGCAAATGAAGTACGTAAAATAAAAGATTGCAGCTCTTTCACGATAAACCCTACATTATCCTCTAGGGGAAGATATCTAACCAGTATATATCACTCGGTCAAGAATATTTAAATAAGGTTTAATAAAAAAGTATGACTACTGGACCATCGAAAAGTTAAAAAAAAATAAAAAGCTTAGTCAGGCTAGCAGAAAGCGCAGCCTGCCCCTTTAAGGTAAAGGTGCTTGCTTCAAAGCCTAGAGAACTCTTTCAAATTGACTATTTCCAGCTAATAATAAAGCTCAACAACATCACAATTCTTCACAATGATCCTTCACTTTTAACATTTTATTCATGCTTATGAACTGTATATTCTATCTGTGTTTCCTTTGCATTGATGCAATCAACTGTAATGCCACAGGAAAGTGATAATCTGTTCTGTCAAGTATCTGTTGGGAAATATGGCCTCCTTCATCTGACACAGATCCAGGGCACATCATCAGAGCCTTTTTGAGGGTGGGGAAGCATAGCTAATACATGTTGCTTTGTTGGTATTGAATGAGAGATGCCAGTCATGCCTACAGTAACAGTCATTTGCATTTTGCTCTCACTGCCAGGCTACAGAGCGGAAAGGAGGGTGTGCCCCTGAGTGTTAACCACCACTGTTGGAACAATGAAGAAAACAATTATGAAAACAGAATCTGAATGGTGTGAATAGAAAAGGAAAAACACATAGCTCTATCCCATTTGATATAAAGTGTATCTTTTGTCCTTGAATGCAGCAGCAGAGCCGTTTGTTTACTCACGATTTTGCTGCAGGAATGTGTGCGTGTTGAGAAATAATGGGAGGATTTTAGAGGTAAAGTCATGACACTGTTTGCTGAAATTGGAGTTTTTGTTTGTATCTGAGTGATGATCATGAATCCTTATCAGCAGGTGTCTTTGTTGGAAGGACACTTCATCCTTATTCTTGTGGTTATTATTTTTTGACCTTGCAATCAGGGTTGGCTCAATTAAAGACACAGTTCTGCATTTTTCAAAACCCGATAATCCTGATCACGTCATTTAAAGAATAAGTCTCAGAGCTCCCCAAAACAAGTGTGTGAAGTGTCTTGTTCTAAATCCACTCTGATCCTTTATTTGATCATGCCTATAAACCCCTCTATTTCAGCCCTGCTCAGAACAGACTGTCAAAGGCACTATTCAGATTGCAATATGTCATTAAAACTACTGATGCCACGTTTTTCAAAGCAAATATTTACTTCTTTTTTTTTTTTTAATTATTCATTTCCTTATCAGGAAATATTGTTGTCTTGTCTTTAAACCAAATAATAGAAAAGTATCAGTAGTGGTATCAATAAACACTCAGATTGTTAAGGGGTCTTAATAATGGTATGAATATATAAAATGAATGACCCCCTATCCCTACTTGCAAGAGAGATCTTTTCCTGTGAAAGTGTGCATTAGGCAGTCGTTCAGGTGAAAAGCCTCTGTGGGAGCAGAGGATTGTTGCAGCTCTGCAGGTTGTTTAGAGTACACAGGTATCACCACGCTCTGCTTTGCATCTCAAATCATGTGCAGCTCTTCCTTCTCCCTCCCTGAACAACAGCATCACATGACAATGACCTCATCTGTACATGTGTCTGATTATTTAACCTCTAGAGCACCATCCTTCGACAAGGAAACAGCCCTGCCAGGTGGCGATGGTATCATTGAATGTCCCTACCTGTTATGAAACGCAGACAGCTGCGATGCTCGTCTGTCCTTTCCAGCCCCAGCCGGCTTGTCTAGTCATTTGCCCTTTTCATTTTCAGTCCCCCGGCTCTTTATGGGATTTTTTTTTTCATTGGATCATGAATCTCAAGGTTATTGTGCTGTTCAGTGTTTTTTTTTTGGTTTTTTTTCAGGGGGCTAGAGGTGTGCATGTGTTGTAAGCACTCCCATCTGTGCTCCTGTGAAGTGGTTGAGCCCTAGTGAGAGTTCTTGTCTGGCTGAGCTCGAGGCAATTTAATTTCCTCTCCTGCATGGTCTGATCTCACAGACTGCTGTTATTACTGCTGATGTTCTGATCCCCCGGTGGAGTTAGAAGTTTTTCCTCCCCTGAGAGACACGAGGAATTTTAACTGCATTACCTGTTTATGTGGCTAATATGTACAAGATGAACATGCCGCCCATTTCAACACACTCCAGGAAAAGTCTTTACGCTGAAAGTGGGGCAGAAAGGCAACTTGCTGAACTGTATTCCTTTGTTTCGCTCCTCACATGCTTCCTTTGAGTGCTCTGCCTCCTCTGATGGGTTCATTATTCTCACTCTACCCCTGCCATGTTTAGTCTTTCCCCTCATTCCTCCTCCTCTCCACCCTGGGGTATTACTGTGTGTATGCCGGGTGTTGATGGTGGCACAGAAAAGCCTGTTGATGACAGTCTCAGAGGAAATGTGGAAGAATAAGCCAGTGTTTCTGAAAGAGAATGAGAACTCTTTTCATTGTTGTTTGCTTTTCTTTCACCTTGTTCTGTTTTTTTCTCTTGTGTTTCTTGTTTTTACCCTCCTCCATCAACCCCCGACTACTTGCAGAATGGATGGGTTTCTTTTTAGCTTCACCTGGCCTTTATTTCGAGGCTGTGTGTGTGTGTGTGTGTGTGTGTGTGTGTGTGTGTGTGGTGTGTGTGTGTGTGTGTGTGTGTGTGTGTGTTGTGTGTGTGTGTGTGTGTGTGTGTGTGTGTGTGTGTTGTGTGTGTGTGTGTGTGTGTGTGGTGTGTGTGTGTTGGTGTGTGTGTGTGTGTGTGTGTGTGTGTGTGTGTGTGTGTGTGTGTGTGTGTGTGTGTGTGTGTGTGGAATTGGGGTCTCTTTGTTGACACAGCAGCTGTTGATTTGGCTCCACAGTGGACGCTTTGTTTGTTCCACCTTCTTTCCTCTTAAGCACAGAAAGGGCAGAAACAGCACTGGCTGCCAGACTGAAGGGCACAGCACAGATAAAAGAGAGGGGGCTCTCTCTCTAGCTTGGTTCACTGAGCATAGCCTTTGCTTTCAGAAAGCTCAAAACTGTCATTTCAAGGCCTTTTGGTTTTTATGTGTTTTCCGGAAGCACTTTTCTTTTATAAGCAGATTTGTCATTCTAAGTAGGGTTAAGTTCTTAACTCTCTTTTCTTCACCTCTTCTCCAATTCCAGGTGATCTTTTACTCGGGTGACAGGGCCTATGTAGACTACTACCCCCCTATGAAGGGCCGAGTCCACTTCAACTCAGCCGACCCCAAGAATGGTGATGCCTCCATCATTCTGACGGGGCTGATGTCGTCGGATTCTGGCACCTACCAATGTAAGGTGAAGAAGGCTCCTGGGATCCGCAGCAAGAAGATGCTGCTCATCGTCATGGGTGAGTGGAACAAACCACCGTACACACTTTGGTGTTCAGTTAGGACTCTCTTTTTCCCCCCTCCCTTAGAGGCTAAATTCTCTCTGTGGACACAGTGAAAATGCAGCAAATTACACGGCCTTTGGCCTCCTTGGCTGTTTTGATGTAATCCCTTCTAAAACGGAGCGTGTAACCTTCCTAGAGGCTGTCCAGCAAAGCCCCCGCCGTGATACTACTGCTTTCACCCGAGATACTCTGTCATTGTCTAAAACAATAATCCTGGTTCTCCCTGCATTAAATATCGTTGTCATTATTTCCATTCTGTAAAGTATTAGACTTGATGAAAACATTTTTTTAATGCTCTTTTTTTTTTTTTTAAATTACAGCTTCCATTTTTAACCCGTAGAAATCTGCAATAAGACGCCATCTGATCGGGCCTACATGGGAATTTAACTCATTGTGGTGTCCTTTCTTTGAATACTTAAATGATTCATATCTCTCTAATAACTACAATCAGACAAAAGGTTTATAGGTTAATAAACCATGTTGTATATTAAAAGCATTAATGTTTTGTCCTAAATAAACAAACAATGATCAGCCCTTTAATGTTATATTTCTTAACACTTATGATTATTTTAAAGGTAGATTAGGCTAGAGCCCGACCAATATTAGCATATCCAGTCACTATTGGTATCCACTTGTTTTATTGCAGATTTGCGCAGATACTACCAGATTTATTCACCAGTCATATAGCATTTAATTTGAGTCTTGCTGTTTTACAATAGCATTACTTTTTCCCTAGCAGAGTATGCAGTACAAGCATTATCCCTCTCCATAGTGTCAAGCAGTGACGCACGCACATGCAAAGTTTTTTTCCAGTTGATTAACCATCTTTTATACGCTTTATTGTTTATCTTTTCCTCAAGTCTTTGATAACTGCATTTGAGGGATTGTTTGATTTAGCTCAGTTTTAACCGGATTATGCAGAGACGTGTCTCCTGCAGCTCCCCGTTGCCACCATGTGCATTACGAGGTCATAAACAAACGTGTTGTAATAATGCAAAAGATTAGAGTCTAAGTTTTTCTAAGACCTACTAATTGAGACTTTATCCATATAAGGTTTTATTTGATTGATTTGACTTTAGATTGTTTTGAAAAAGGTTATGCATGTAAGCAAATACGTTTACCAATAAAAATATCAATAATGACCTCTGTGAAAACTTCAGAATTCTCAATCATAATTCTTCTGTTGTATTAATAAGCATCTTAGAAAGTACAGCCAAAGATGATTAAATAAATGATATGAATCTGTGATATCATTGTCGTGTGCACAATGTCATCCTGTTTTATAAAATGAAAGTAAGACCTCAGATATGGAGTTGATACACTCAGCTGTTTTTTTTATTGCATGGGTGAGATGGGTGACACGTCATGTAAAATTCACATGAATTACTCCCTAGGCAAACCACACAAACACATTCTCTCTCTCTCTCTCTCTCTCTCTCTGTCTCTCTCTGTCTCTCTGTCTCTCTGTTCTCTCTCTCTTCTCTCTTCTCTTTCTCTTCTCTCTCTCTCTCTGTCTCTCTCTGTCTCTCTCACACACACACACACACAGTGGCCTCACTGATCGGTCAACTGACTAAATGCTGTCGAGAGTGAATCGCCTCCCGAAACCCGGCTGGTATTTGCATATGGGATAAAACAACCCACGTGTGCTGCCACCAGTCTGTGCTGTGGGATAAGCTGCATATTAGGCTGTTATCGCAACGCTCTTATCTTTTTTCTAAAGATAGGGCAGCCTTCAGAAAATGGCTGCTGTGCTTGTTGACATGATATCATGTGTGTAGAAGCGGCTGAAGTGCACCGACCAGCTCAACCAGAAACACATGGTGCATAAAAGGAAAACAAACAAGTTTCACAGTATGTGTGTCATGAACCATGAAGCAGCTCTGATTAAAAAAAAAAAGATACATAGATACAGAAACTCTTATCATTAACTGTGGCTACAGTTGACCTAAGAACCTCTAATAGATCCTGTGGGAGGCTATTTTACATACAAATTGATCCGTGCAGAAGCAACAGGAAACAGTGAATCCCGTCACTGAAACATGTGCTTGAACATAAATAGTTTCAGCTCTACCTCCTGGCAGTAGCTCCACATTCCTCACTGTGAGAAAGTTGGCAAACCTGCTGATGTATCAGTTGTTTTCAAGCTTGCTTCTAAAGTTCCCATGAAATCCACTCAAATGTCTTTTTGTTTTTCCCATCACAAATGTCGAAAAAAATATACGCTGAGTCAAATAGGCAGATAAATGTGTTGAGTGATATTTTTAAAATCTAAAAAATTATACTTGGCATGATCGTTTCATTGATTCGATCACGTGTCATATTAACATCTCAATATTTTGCCCAACCCCTAAATCTGATGTGATGCAGATACCAGTTAATAGTGTAATGCCATTGCTCGCACATTTGTATTTCGTTGTTCAAATTCAGGCAAAGTATGTATCCCTCTCCCCAAGAAATATCTATCTGAAGATGTACGTCTCAAATATAACCATTGCGGGGTTTTGTTACTCTTGTTCTAAATTTGAAGTCAAGATAGAATCTGAAGTCAAGTTATTTAGATTTCTTGTTGAGTATTGATTGTATCCTCCTCTAGATGTCTACACCAGCTCAGTGTCTACAATGTATGCAGATGTATTTGGCTACAGTATGGATAGTGTGTGTGTGTGTGAGATGATAGCTGGAGGCTACGAGAGATGAAAGACTGCTAGCTATTGACCCCAGGGGCAGAGGTGTTCTTAGCAAGGAAACGTTGACAAGGAGAGGCAAGGACATGTTGCCTGCTCTGCATTTTACCTTCAGGTTGATCTTGTCACAAGGAGGATGGTCTCCCGAACACGGAGAGACGTGCATGCATGTGTGTGCACAGGCATAAACACACCTGAAATTATACACATGGGTATTGCTTAGGCTTGTCACAAACATGCCTCATGCAGGTACACACACACTTACTGACCCCTGCAGTGCACGTGTTGTGCCGTTGCATCTTTTGTTGTGTATTCTCTCTTGTTGCTTCAGGACATTGAAGTTAACAGAAGGAGAGTATCTACTAGCAGTTACGCTCTGTACGTCAGCAACTCTCACAACTGTTCCTGAATAGAGCCCATCTGTACTACTATCAAAAGGCTTAATGTTTTATTAAGAACCTTTTTAGTAATTATCAG